GATATTAGGAAAAGTTTCTTTACTGTAAGGGTGATCAGGCATTGAAACAGGCTGTCCAGGGAAGTGGATGACTCACCATACTCAGAAGTGTTCAAAAAATGTATGGATGTGGCATGTGGGAACACGGTTTACATGGAACATGGTGAACATGGCAGTGCTGGGTTAACAGTTAGACCAGATGATCTTTGAGGTCTTCCCCAACCTTAACTTTTCTATAGTTCTAAGACCCAGATATGGGGTAATTCTGCTGTTCCCTGCAGCCTGCCCCTGCATATGGCTGCACTCCCTATCTCCTTGCCAGTGGAGGCAGAGGATTTCTTTATCACTTTTTGCAATGGCTGTTGCTTCATGCCTCAGTTTCCCCACTTAGAAATACACAGGATTTTTGTGCCTCCTCTGGGATGTTTTGCCTCTTTGCTGCATGGCTCTCAGGGATAGGAACCATCTGCTGGCATGTCTCTCCAGGGCCACACACAGTGGTGCCCCACAGGACCTGGCTGCTAATATTAAACAGGGCTTTGGAGCCAGTTCAGACTATAAATTCACATTAGCACAAGGGCAAGACTGCACACAGCAGACAGAGCTGCAGGCAGCCCTGGGTGTTCACCCTTGCCCTTCTGGCCATGGCACTCCCTGGGTGTGTGAGCAGGCAGCTCTGGCAGCTCCTCAGCCCTGTCTGAACCACATCAACATCCCCTGCCTCACCCTCTGCTGCAGAGGAGCACAGGCTCCTCCCTAACCCCCAACTAGGCTGCTTTGCTCTCACCCCCTTGTTCTTTGCTGAAACCCCTCTGGCACAAGGAAGTGGACGTGCTCTAAAGACACTGCCTTTTGTAAAGCTGGGAGACAAAGCCCTTATTTGCAATATACCTCAACAGGGAGGAATCAATCATTTTCCGTTTCTTTGGATTTGCACATCAGGGAGCTTGTTTCTTTTCTTTGCCCTCAAACACATCGTGGGTGGTTTCCCTACAACAAGCCAGGGAAGGGAGGAAGGCCCTTATTTATTTACTTCCCTATGGAAACATCTCAGCTGGTGTTAGTTAACAATGGGATTTTGTAGTGGGAGATCATATTCTGAGGGAAGGCTCTCTCTCAATGGCCTGAGTTGGGGCATCTGCACACTGAGGGTATTTACCCTCCCTAGTGCTGCTGAACAGAGAGCAGCAAGGAGATGCCATGACTCCTCACAGTGCCTTGATGTATGCTACAGAGATAAATATTTTTACCTGAAATTGTGACATTTGGCTGTACAGAAAAGACACAGCCACCTACTACACAAGAGGTATGCTCAGTGCTGTTGCTCTTTTAAAGCTGGGTTGGTTTTTGGGGTTTTTTTGGTTGGTTTAACCTCACTCAGACCACTGCAGCACCGTAAGGGGCTTGAAGCACAATATTCAAATATGGACTTTTCCAAAATACAAGGGAATTTCAAGTTTTAAACATCAGTATTTGCATTTAAACCCTGATGGATCCAGGACGAAAAGTCTGAGATCTGTTTTCATATGTGCTGTAGTGCCTCCCAACACACTGCTGGGAGGTGCCCCAGAAGGAAAAGGTGACCATAACCAGGTGTTTTTCACCACACATTACAACACAGTAATGATCAAATAGCAGGGTGGGATACATCCTTATAAATCCACACAGCCTAATCCCAACTCTAGCAAGCCACATTCCTGTCTTTCTTTGAACTTGATTTTGTTTCCGTTGTACACTGTCAGGAGCATTTCCCATTCAGAGGAGGTCAAATATAACCTTTTCAAGTCCCAGCCCACAGAGGATTAAATACTTGGCAACTCTGGGAACAGCAGGAGATGGGCATACATGTGTTCCCAGGCCGGATCCCAAGCCTGTTCCCTACTGCTTCAGCAGATGTTTCAGCCTGGTTTAGGCACTCAAACAGCTGGTAAGACCCTGAATTCCTGTCTTGGAGCCAAAACACATCACCTCATCTACCTGGACTGCCCCCTGAAAACAGGTATCTTTCTCAGTGAGTCAGTGGAAGAGAACTATGCATAGGTAGGCAACTTCTTAAGGAGAAAACAGACAAAGAAAACCAGCCCTCAAACCAGTTTTTGGACTACAACCACAAAGAATAAATGTGGGAGCTCTGAACATAACATCTTGATACCTTCAGAAATGCACGGTCTGATCCAAAAGAGAGGACGAAGCCTCAGCAACTGCACTGAAATGCCCCCAGTTTGCTGCTTGCAGCATTTGTCTTACACGTGAGCAGGTCAGCCCCTCTGAAGCAGTAGAGGAAGCTCATTGTGCCAAGAAAGAGACTAACAGACCAAGAGAAGCATTAGATAGAAAAGAGAAGTGCCAGCACCAGCACATGTCCCTGTGTTTTGCAGTCAGCCCCATGTGCATGACTGCAGGTGCTGCAGACCTACCCATGCACCACAGGGCTCACAGGAGAGCTCAGGACTTCAGTGGTTTGGGTAGATCCATCTGCGAATACTTTGCTGCTTAAAAAGCCTCGCAGCTGAAATGTAAACCCTGTGTTAGGCAGCCCAGGAGCATGGCAGACACTGAGCACGGATGTTAAAGACCAAAGGTTTTCCTTCAGACATTTGGCAACACCAAGTTGTGTCTCTTTGTTTGCCTGTCCAAACACCATTTTAACTTTCCAAGAGTAACTATTTAATATTGCCTCAACCCACCCCCCTTCTCAGGGCCACCTCTTTCTTAGCTTTGGAGAAGCAATTATTAAACTTTTGTTTAGTCTTGGGAAAAGCTGAAACAGTGTGAATTTATTCACCAAGGAGACATGCATGCTGTGTACCCTGGCTTTTGTTGAATTGCCATTTTGACACAGGCTGCCTTTGGAGAACTTCCAGAGGTGCCTGGCATTGTTTGGGTTCACTGTGAATGTGCTGTGGAGAGCAGACCCCAAACAAAAGCAGGAGTCCAGTCAGGCTCCCCTTCTTCTCTGCACCAATGATTGTACTAAAGCATATTACAATTTAACCCCTCTAGCAGCAGGTGAAGTTACATTTAATAAAGAATTTGAGAGCTGCACTCATTTAACTGCAACAAGAAGTTGCTCTAACATAGGCACAATGCTATAGGTATGTTCAAAATAAACACCTGTAGGACAGAAGTGCATATGCATTAGGTGACTGGACACTGAAAGGACAGGTGAAGAGCTGAATCCCCTTCCCTTGGCTACGGATTCAGGCCGAAGAACACAAGCACTCCTGTGGTTTGAGGACTAATTAAGCTACTTGTGAACCAGCAATTAAAGGAGGTGGGAGCTGTGTGAGAAGGGATACATCTATGAGATGTTCTGTGTCTGCGAGGGTTTTGGGTTTTTTTCTGCCTTTGAAAACATAATTTTGTTGGCTCTAATCTTGTGTCAGCTTGCATTTAATTCCTCTCTTGTGAAAGCAAACCACAGAACAACTGAAGCAAAGTTGCCTCACAGGGCTGTCTTCAAGCGCTTGTGTGCCGGCCCACTAGGGGCGGTGCGCAGTATTCGCGGATGCCGTGCTGGGACTGTTCGGGGCGCCTCTGTGGTTCCTTTTTTCTCCAGCTGCCCGAGGGGAAGAAGCATGTTTCTCATCCTTCTTGACTGTAACAGAAGTGGAGGCAAGCGTGACTCCTCTGTCTGGCATTGCTCCCCCTCTGTGATCAGCTCTCTGCCTGCCTTGCAAACAGCAGATGTGGGTGAGGGGAGCCACGGCCAGGCTGCACGGGATGCACTGGAGGCACCAGAGACACAAACTGGGTATCAACTGCTGTAGCAGATAATTTCTGTGACCCGTGAGAGCCATCAGCCATTAGGGAGGTAAAGCATGCAGGCAAGTTTTAAACAAAGATCTGGCTTTGTCGTGATTCAAAACTGTATCTGCAGCTCTGCCGAGTTAAAATGACAATGTTCATCAGCTCTCAGGTTCAGGGGCTTCCAAGTCGTCCACAGGTTGGAGGTAGGAAAAATGTCCCTTTAAGGAAGCTGCACCTTCCTTCAAAGCAGCTGGAGCTGCAGGTTCTGCTGGCAGGATGGTGCCCCAGCTGACCCACTGGTCTGCTCGGGACAGATGCTGGACTATGATGAGCTGTGAAGCAAAACCATCCCTGTCTTCTGCTACCCAGTAGGGGCTGATGTCAGAGGGAGTAAAGTTCCCAGCAAGTCTGTGATCTCTCAGTACAGCTCTTCGTGGCAGGATGATCATTGTGCCTGAGCCTCATCTCCTCTCTCCCTCTCCCCTTCTGGCACACCAAGCACAAACATGCTCAGACATGATGCTGCTTTTGGGCTAAGCGTTGTCTTGTTCATTTTTGGCATCTTTTCACATCACTACATTTCTTTGTCAGCCCCATGTTCACCTCTCTCATTGCTAAACATTTCACAGCTTCAGAAACCCAACTATCTTCTTGCTCACTGCACACATGCAGAAGTCACCAGAAACTGCAACCACATTGATATCACAAAATAGCCCTTATCTGTGCCTCCTCCTGGCAGTTTGATTTACAGGAGCTGGTGTGTGAAGCATCACCATCCAGCAGTGCTTGCTGACCAGCACTGGCAAATGAAACATTGCATTTCCGTGCATCTGCTCCAATTGCTTCCCTCCTTTGGGTCTCCTTTTATAAAGCCTATAGAGGTATAACAAGATAACTAGAACCTTACATTTGTATCATTAAATCAAGTGGTTGGAACCACTTCAACCAAATGCTTTCTAAGGAAGGAGGAAGTAAGGAATGCTTTACATCCTTAAACCTCTTTGTTTTGCCAGAAGATTTCATTATTTAAGGCTTAGTGGAACAAGGGGGTGAAAGCTGTCAGCCAGGGGAGCCCTTTTGGCTAACATTCAGCTTCCTGTGCTTAAAGAGGTTTGATGTGGCCATCGGGAGAGTGTCACTTCCTATTGTAGTCATAGCCAAAGCCTGGCAAGCAGGGAGGGAGAGGAGGGGAGGCAGACACTGCCTGGGAGCTGGAGGAGTGCACAGAGGCTTGAGTGAGTGCTGCAGCAATGTTCATAGCCAAAGCCTGGCAAGCAGGGAGGGAGAGGAGGGGAGGCAGACAGTGCCTGAGAGCTGGAGGAGCTTGAGTGAGTGCTGCAGCAATGCAAATTCAGGATCCAGAACCTCACCCAAAGGCACTGAGCTCATGGTGAGCTCCTCACATGCCATCAGCACCAGTGGGGATGCTTCAGCTGCACTGAGGAGCAAGTGAGAAGCCCTCTTCCATTGCTATAGAAACAACAGTATGAAGTAAATCCAACGTGCTCTTTTTCGCATTCCTATAAAATGGATGATTAAGAAGCACAAGGTTGAGACAAATGTCTTGCCAGGCACACTCAGACTGCAAGATCAAAAGCCAAGTTAGATTGACTGTGATAGGGGCAGCAGTGTTTAAGCCACACTGAAGGCTTATTGCTGGCTCTATCAAGTATTTCTCTCTGTTTCTACCTCTGTCATCAAGACTGCCTGCTGGAATACTTCATTTGTTGCCTCCCTGAACTGATATATCTTAAATTTTGCACCAGTGTCAAAGCATCTGGTGAGGTCAGAGCAAAATGAGCTGTAAGCTGACACCTCTGGACAACCAGCCTGCAGCCAATAGCAGCACACTGCTTCTCAATGCAGAGCCAGAAAACACACACAGAGGAAAAAAGAGCCTCAGGATTTGCAAGTTTTGGAAGCATTTTGTAAAATAATTCTGATTCTGCTAATGCTTCATTCCAATGGGCCCTTTACGCCCATCTGAAATCAGTCCATCTGATTCACCCATTCATCTGGGACTTGCAAACCATCCTATGCTTGGTAAAATTTATGTTATGAAGTAAAAGCTCAATGCAAACTAAGCCAAAATGGTAGTCATCAGTCTATCAGTGGGGTTGAGTTGGTGGTGATGCTTATTTGCTTTTAAAGAGAAACAAGGTTATTTTTACTTTCCAAGACAGAGGAATAGCAAGTGTTAAAAATGCATAGTTCTTGAGAAAGCATCTACATGCATACACAGGAATACATGTGCAGTCAGGCAGAATTACCTGATATTGGTAGTTAGTAAGTCACACAGATTAAAAAAAAAAAAAGAGGAAAGAAGAATTACAGCCCTCTCAGAAAAGAAATTAAATATCCAGGTCTCCATCTGCTTAAGAATCCTGGGAATTTTCTAGGCTTTCTTTAGGAAATGCCAGATAATAACTTTATCTGAAAAAGGACTGAATAAAATGAGGTAGGACATCAGAATCTGCCCTTTCATCCTGCAATTGGATCTACTGCCTTTTGTCCTGTGTGTAACACTCTTGGCACCAAGAGAGGTCTCCTTAAGGGCAGCCGTCTGTCTGTTCCAGCTAACTATAGCACAGGAACTGCAATTATCAACCTTTCCATTCCCCAAATTCCTCTGCTGATCTCCGCTGGGATAGTATTATAGCCATTCTTTGTTTGCAAATATACATACTTTACCAGACTAATTAGCTGGGAACTACATTTAAACTGAAGCCACATGACAAAATCTTGAGGGTTTTTTTAAACACTCATGTTATGAAAAAGTGACCTTCTCACTGTAAGCCTTGGCCACAAATGATTTGTGTTCAAGAGATGGATTGAGGGATAAAGGCTAAATGCAAAATCAACTCAAAAACTTACAGAGGATAACTACTGTGAAACTGCTTTCCTGGAAAGCCCCTTATGTTCTAGGTTTCATTGTCCCACTAATGGAGATACAGAGATCGGTGCTGGAATTAATTCCAGTTAACTGGAATGACCTTCATGGTTACTAAGGCCAGCACTCATTCTAAGAAGTGTCAAAAATATTTTAAAACCTTCTACAAATAATATACTGTGTTCTTCATGTGTTAATTTTTTAGCAGCCCAGATGCTGCTTGGATGAGATTTCCATAGAAGTGGTGTGATTAAGAACTGAGCAAGGATGAATTCCATTTGAGTAATTTTTGATTTAAGCTTTTAAGTATCTGACTAATTTTGAATTCAGTGTGACTTAATCTCATGCTTTACTCTAAGTACCTGCTTAAACATATGGCTGAAGCAGGGCTTACCCAAGATTGGTTGATCCTTGCCATATGCAGAAAGGTACAGACTGCACAGGACATCCCCATCTGGTGATGGTGAAGTCTGAAATGTGCAGCAAAGCAGTGAAATAAGAGCATACTGCTAATAATTGATATTTGCTCAAAAGGGTCTTTTCATCCCACACGGAGTCTGCCACATTACATTGCTGTTCCTGAGACTGTTGCTATTTCTGAGACTGACAGGCTGCCAGTTAAGAGGCCTTCAGTCACTTAGGAACAATTAACTGGTGACACTGGCAATTATGTCTGTATTGATCACCTTGCTTTTCATGTTCATTCAGAGGTAAGCAATAATGGGAACACACCATGCTCTCTAGGTATGACAGGACTTGATTTGTGGTCTTTAGAGAAAAAAAATTAATTCAAATCAACAGTCTGAGAAGCAAAATGAGCAAAGAGGCTCATAATATGTGCAGAGAGGTGGTGAAAATCCCCACTGTGTTCCCATTCCATGTATGTGTTGTGGTTTAATCCCAAATGGCAATTCAGCTCCACACAGCTGCTTGCTCACTCCGCTGGTGGGATGGGGGAGAGAATGAGAAGGGTAAAAGTCAGAAAACTTGTGGGTTGAGATAAAGAGTTCGATAGGCAAAGCAGTTCAATAGGCAAAGCAGAAGCCAAGCTCACAAGGAAAGCAAGAAAAAAAAAATCTACACTACTTCCCATGGGCAAGTGTTCAGCCATGTCCAGGAAAGCAGGGCTCTGTCATGTGTAATGGTTACTTGGGAAGACAAACACTGTCACTCCAAACATCATCTCCTTCCTTCTTCTTCCCACAGCTTTATATACTGAGCATGGCTTTCTATGGAATGGAATATCCTATAGATACCCACTGTCCTTGCTGTGTTCCCTTGCAGTTCTTCTGGATCTACTCACTGGCAGAGCGTGGGAAACTGAAAAGGCATTGGCCCTGTATAAGCACTGCTCACCAATAAAGAAAACATCCCTGTGCTATCAACTGTGTTTCCAGCACAAATCCAAACATAGCCCCATGCCAGCTACAATGAAGAAAATTAACTCTATCCCAGCCAAACCCAGCACAGCATGCTTGCAAGTTTGAGGTAGCTTTTTTTTTTCTTTTGGTGGCAATATTTAGAAGAAATGCTCTTTTTGGCAGAGAGACAATATTATATGTACCTACATGAGAGACTGCAGTGGTGCAATGGAGTGGCTAAAATCTGCATGCCTAAACAAAGTGTGTGGTACCATCTGTGGGCCAGAAGCACTGCACACAAACAGCGGCTGAGTCCCTATTTGCCAAGAACCAAACAGACTGCATAGATAGTTTCATTTCAAAAGTGGCATCACTGTTTTTCTTTCAGATTGTCCTCCTTGGTATTGTCTATACTGTGAGCCTAACAGAAGAAAAGAAACCTGAAGAAGAGCTCAGTGGCTGTTGCACAAAGCGCAGGCTGAGGACTCGTGGGGGCAGCAGCCAGCTCTGTCCCCTGCTTGCACAGCTCCACACACTGCAGTTGGGGTTAATGAGCCTGTGATAACAGCAATAACCTGAACAATAAAAGCTGATCATTGATCCTGAGATCAGGAGAGCAGACCAATAGAGCAACCTGCCTCCTTGGATTACTCAGTGTTTTGGCAAGAAGTGCAATGTAGGCCAGGTCAAATCAAATCATAATTCAGTCCAAATCTGAATAATGCACTAGCAGAACAGTCCAGGAACAAAATGGAAACAAGTGTGATTTTCATGCTCAAGAGCTAAGACGGCACTGTGTAACCTTTGGGTACCTGCTCTGGCAGTCAGGAAAACTATAACGGGATTTAAACCAATAAAATGAGTAAACCAGAAACCCTGGTCTTGGTCTGTAAAAGTCATTGCACTATATTTAATGTACTTGCTGCTTTCAGTTTATCAGGTGACCTAGACAGTATTAAACTGTAAAAAATATTAGAAACTCTCTTAAGATTACTGCCACGCCTCTTAACTGATAAGTGAGTTTTACAGAATTTTCAGATCATAGCCTTTAGTGTTCCACAAATTTTGATTTAGAGGAAGCTGAAATATTTGAACCTGGATTGAAAAACCTTATTTGCTTTGAAATTTATTGTGATAGCAGAAAGCTAAGCCTAATGAGGAAAAAAAAAAATCACATTCTGGCAGATGACCAAAAAAACAACCAAACCCATGAAATGCAACAGTCTGTGATGCAAACTGGCATTTCAAGGAGAAAGGGGAAGATTCTCCCTAAAAGTTTCCCATATAATTTCAGGTAATCCTAGAAACTGAAATGAGAAACAGAAGTATAGAAAGTTGTTAAACTCTCCATTATGTTCAAACCAATTGACCATTCATGTAGGAGCATTCCATGACTTCAGAAGGCAGACAGAGTGCTTGCCTGTGCCTATCAATTGCTGTGAACAGCAAATTAGGGTTATACAAAAGATATCCAAAATATACCTGGCAAAGCAAGTGGGAGAAAGCCTGAATGATTTCCACATGTAAAACCATCACTGCAAAGTCAGGGTAGAATGCAACATATGCATTCCAGCTGTAACATGCATCTGCAATACAACTCACCCACCTAACACACAGACAGGAAATAAGGTTTTTCCAGTGTCTGAGTGTAACAAGATAAAGCTGTTGAGTTTAACCCTATCAACATCAGAGCAAAAAGAAGCCCAGACAACTGTTCACATGCTTTTGGCATCTTGCTCCATCAGAACCTAAACTGGGCTTAGCTGGTGGAGGTTTCTACCTTTTGGCAGGTCCAGGGCCATCTTCTGATCATAAGATATTCTGTAGTCAAGCAGAAGACTGTAAGCCTGCCTACCAGCCACAGATCAGCGCTGCTTGGCCTCACTGTAAGCAGAGAGCATGATCATTTATTGTGGTAAGTCTCTTCATAAACTAGAGAAAAATTCTCATCAAACACAACCATGATGCTTAAAGGATCTTTAAAGGAACACCCAACAAATTATCCTGACAAGTGGTTCTTCTGGCTCCACAGAGCTAATCCTTTCAAATAGGTTTGCTGAGCCAAGGAACATAAGCAGATGGAGCTCAAGCTTCTACACTGGCAGATTCCTGTGTGAGTGGGAGATGGTAAGAATGAAGGGGTCCAACTGGAAAATGCTCTGACACAGCACTCGAAAGGACAACCCCACAGGACCACATGAAAGAAAGAGAGTTTACAGTGTTTGCAAGTAAGATTTGCATGGATAGACTCCAGTGATAGAAGTATCCCTTCCATTTGAAAACTGTTCAGATACCCTAAAAGATATTCAGTAAGGGGGAAAGCCATCCTGGAACCTCTTGGGAGATGGAGCAAGGAGGATAATAGTGATCATGACTACTGCATCTACCCAGAACTCTGCACATGTGGAGTGCTTCCTTTAGCAACTCCTGCTGGGGGAGATAGTAGGTGGGGTTTCTCCCCTGCCCAGTCACATTTCTCCTACACATTGAATATTTACTCCCTCACTCTCTGCATTAACGTACCCCAGAAAAAGAGAGGATTTTTCCTTCTGGCCTGCCCTGGAAGGCTTGTGTCATTAACAGGCACTTCATCGCAGGTGTGTTTGGGCAGGTGTTTGGTCCTCCACACAGCCCTCCTGTGCAGAAACCAATGCAAAGTGACCCACTGCAGGTATGGCTGGAGGACTGGGCCTTTTTGGCTTCTTCTCAGATGGAGCACTCCACTTTGCATAATCCTCACTCAGCAAGTGTGTTCCTCCTTTTACAAAACTGACTTGGAAATTGTAGGACTGTGCTGAGTTATTATACACTAATTCCAGCAGCATCTTTCAGGATATACTAAAATAAATTGTTAACTATACCCCTGGTCTTCAAAGACCTGTTATACCTCATACCATTTATTAATCTCTGCTGTACTGAATTATTAAAATGAAACTCTCAATTACTCCCATCACTAAAAGTACCAGTGTGGCTTTTAGATCCATATTTCTAGCCTTTACTGTAATGCATTCTTCATTTTAATTACTGGCACCATATTTTCAAAGGGCAGTGCCTTATCTTTGCAGGGTATTTATCAACCTAAAAAAAAAGTTTGACAAGTGCATAAATCATTAGGTGTGACAAGCAATGAATTCTTGAAGGAGAAATATGTGGAAAAAAGATCATGTTATCTAGGTGAACCAAAGACACGTCAAAGTGAAGCAACAGGAGGAAATATCATCTAATTCTCCTGCCAGCGTGTGCATTGTGCAAGAAATTATTCTGGTGTTCATTACCAGAAGGGGACTGAGCAGATTTTTTTCTGTAAAGAGAAAAGAGATCTTCTGCAACAAAGGGTTTATGGACTAAAAGGATAAGAAGAATTGCCAGCTAAAATTCCTAAATAGAATAATCAAGGTCACATCTAATCAAAGCCACAGAACACACCCAAGTAATAACTCCAGTCCAAAATAATGCTCATCTGTCCAATGGCTCCTAACAATGAAGTATTGCAGTCTTCCTATTGCCATTCTCTTTTTTGATTCAAAGAACAGATGTTTTATCATGAAAATCCTATTTTCCAGGTCTGTCAGCGGTCTAGATGGTGGGCACCCAACATACAACCTCCTCTGCACCAGTACACAAGAGCAACAACTAAATTCAGGAATTTTAAAAGAGAAAAAAAAAATGTTTTAAAATGTCATCTGTGTGGCCCAATCCACTTCAGAGGCCCCTGCTGACCTGCCAGCTGGTCAGGGCAACTGGGAAGATCTCCTTAGGAATTCAAAGCGTAGGTTGTTTCAAGGGATTGCGTTGCAGCAAGCTCCAGTTGCTTTTCCCGAACCAGAAGACATATTTAAAAAAACAGCACACACTGACCAGTGAAACACTGGTGTATGGAAGACAATGTCCTTACCTTGGTTGTTAGCATGTGCTGAAGCCTCTCATGCTACATTTTCATTTTTGCTCCCCAGGTCAGCTGCCTGTGCCAAAGTCATTCCTTGGCCATGATGGGGACACACCTGCACCCCAGCCATGACACTTCATGGATTTATGGTACGGGCACTGCCTTGCAGGAAAACTGATGTCAGGTTCTCTAATGGAATTTCTGATAGCTGATGATCAAGAATAATTATCGCCAGTATTCAGGTTAGAGCATGTGTGGGGAGACAGTAAAATGCCCAGCACTACATCCTCAGTATCCTAAAGTCAAACACAGTAATGGGCTTTCCTCCTCGGGGAACAGCCATGTATCCAGTCATCATCTTTTTAAAATCACCTCCGCCTTGTACAGCAAGAGTAATGCTTTTTCTGTCTAGCTTTCTTACATGTGGGCTTCCAGTTTCATTACTTTTAAAAATCCCGAGACCAACAATAACTTCAGAAAATAGAGATAAAGTAGAAGATGCAGGGAAATCTTTGGAGACCATGCTGGATATTTTCTTTACAAGACAAATAATGTATTACATGATGTCTCTCATTCCTCTTCTAATCTTTTTTAACAAGAAAAGACAAACACAAGCCCAGCTGCACGCAGCCAACATCTGATTGGGTCAAAAACTTTTAACCCACAGCATATGTGGCTGTACTAAAGGTGCAATGAAAAGCAGTTTTTTGGGATCTCTACCACCAGAATGATACTTGGGAGGTGATTTATATAAAGGTTCTGTTAGTTATCCAAACTAATCTAGTGCCAGCTGGAAATGTAGGAGTAATCACCCCTGAGGCTTAACCACTATTTCAATCTGCAGAGCAAGAGAAGTACAGGATAAGAAAAACAACTTTCTCTTTTGCCACTCCCAACAGCTTCAGTTTTGTTCTAGCTATGTCCTGCAGGTATGAGAAGGAATCTTATTCTTTTGCCTCTCTGGAGTGACTGGATTTCCTCCATCATCTGTGCCCTTCAAGGGTAGAGCTGAAAGATTCTGTAATTCACCTTACCTGTTGCCTTTTTCATTTAACGTCAGGCAGAGAGACTGAATTTTTATAAACAGACACAAACATGTTTCCTTGAATTCTTGAACTCCAGGTCTGTTTCTTCTCTTCTAGCAGAAAAAAAAACCAAAAAGAAAATAAATAAACCTTGTCCCACATACAATTCTCTCCACCCACCAATACAAAGGGCATTGCATGGAAAGAGAGTCCTCCAGAAAACTGCTTTTTTATTTACCTCATCTGGGTCAGCATCAGGGTCATGCTGAAGAATCAGCTACCAGAGCCAGCCTGAACACTATCAGCAGCCCCTTCTTTTGCTGGGTAGATGTACTTCTTACACACCTAGTACCCTTGGTATGCTCACAAACCCCTGTGTTTTTGTACACTCCTCTCATGTCCAGTCACTGCATTTCTACATGCTTCTGATGAAAGCTTCAGATTGCTTCTCATTTTAAAAGGGGACAAGGAAAATCAAACACATCATGCATATGAACAAAAAAAATACACAAGATGCAAAGTAGGGGTGAATTTTCAAGGACAATCTGTTGATCATTCAATACATAAAGGTCCCTTTTTGCAATTCATAATGCTATTGAAGAAGGTGAATTTCATTTTTGTTAGTGAAAGTGGCTCCATGTCTATATGTGCTTTAACTACCTCACCCATTTTCAAAAGTCACCATTGCACCATAGGAGCAGAGGGAGTAGTTAATCTTCCACAAATTGCTTCTGGGGCAACAAAACTAGGGACCTTAAAGCAATGTGGTTGGTCAATTCTTTTCTCTTTTAAATTTATATCCCATCATCTCCTAAAGCCCTATCTTTCATTCTGTGCTGCTGGTGTTAGAGCCCCACTGCAGTTCTCAGAAGCGGTCCTCTGCTATTCAGTGCAGTTGGCTTTTGAATGAAACATGAGGTTTTTTAGCACCTCAGGAGGCTGAGCATGCTTAGCAGCCCAGTCCCAGCCTCACACACAAGGACTGCCCTTTAATTCCACTTAAATAAATTCAGTGTTGTTGGTTTTGCCCCTGCTCAAAAGGAGCTTAGTAGGAAAGTCAAAACAGATCTCAGCCAAAGGGAAAAAATAATAAAGCAAGCCCATAAATTAAGTCAAGCTAGTGTATCCTAGGAACAAGAAAGAGCTCATGCAGATGAGGCACACCATGCCATGCATAGAAAGCAAATCCCCACTGCTGGTCCTCCCTCATGCCATTCCAAAGAAGCAAATCTCTATGCGAAGTGTTTGAGAGCATGCTGGAAAGAGAGGGCCTGGAAAAATAGCTAAGAAATAAATTCCACTATTTGGTGGCATTTATTCCAAAGGAGACAAAGTGTCTTTTGTGAAACATTCCCACCAGAAGCCTTGCAGAGTTTGAACTGCATCCACAGCCTACACTAGTGTTAGACATCAAGTGAGATCTTATTGTCTTTCCTTTTACTATTGAAAATCCAAACAGATTTTAAAAGTCTGACTAATTAACTAGGAGCAAGCTGCATTTTTTCCTAGAATATGAATCAACATAATTATAAAATAAGAAGGTCTATTATCATTGTTATGGCAAAAGGAGTATGACAAAGTAAGAGAGGGTAAGGTGCTTAAACACAGTGAGATTATTCCTGACACCAGGACAATAAGCCCCTACTCATTCACTGTATGAAGTTATATCAAGTCTGTAGAATTGTCAGCTAACTAGAATTTATAAGGTACAGAAGAGATTTTTAGGAGGAAACAAGTGCCTTCCAAAAATCCCTTTTGGCTCTGAAAGGTTTAGAAACCTAACTAATGTAACATCTTTCACAGCTCACAGCTAATAACCTTCATGTTTATTTTCTTCTGAAACTCTGAGAAGTCAATAAAGACCGATCATACTGCCTTAAGCTTTGTGGGAGATGCTGTGGGATTGGAGGGCAAAAGCCAAGCCCAGGCTGATATGCAGATATTGCAGGGCAGGAAGAATTTCAGCAATGGTCCCTGGAAAAAAAAGGCAGATCAGTGAAAGGGTGTGATCCTTTTCCTTTTTTCTCTCAGGAAGGTTGGTATGTGAAGTGCAAGATGCCCATAAAGTCTCCCTTGCAGCCAAAATCACTGTCTCAGCAGGGTCCATTAGTGGAGGATGCATCATCATCATTGTCTTGCCTTCCTCCTGGGAAAGAGAAATGGAAGGGAAAGGATGAGCTCTGTAAGCAAAACAAAGTAGAGAACGGGAAAGAGCTGAGAGACCAATTAAGCCCTGCACACATGTAGGCTCCCTGCATGGCAACTGACCTACAAAGGATATTCAGAGCCAACAAAGGGCTGCACATTGAACTGATAGAGCAATCCGATGCAAAAGCAATGCAGCATCAAGCTGTGTTGAGGGGGTGGTTGGCCCTCACAGTAACTCTATAATAAAGAGGTGATCAATGCCACAAAAATCAAAACAGATATACTGGCATAAACATTCAGATTCAGCTCCATTGTCTTGTGTGTATTTGGCAATTAACTTTGCAACACTTTACATGCAATGAGAAGGCAGTTTCCAGAAAATTTCTTTTATTTTATTTGCATTTATGCAGCTGGGTGAAGCTGGAAGAAAACTTCCCCTGAAAAACCCAGTTCACCTACCACCCCATGGAAGGCAGAGTTTATGCAAGGCCATTGCCACCTTCCAAGTACTGGAGTGTGTTTTGTTCCTTCTCCTCCCACAAACATTCCTGGCTTTTCCTGCTGGGAAAAAGGCAGTGAGTGACAGCTAGGAAGGGGCAAAAGAGGCACATGCAGGCTTGAAAATTCACAATTCTGTGTTTGGCTTGTTTGCAAGTGAGCATCAAAGCGTGTCCCTAGACAGACACATCATGGTGAGTGAAAGGCGCTCTTTTAAGAATAATAATCTTTTATAGTCTATCATTTGAGACATAGTCTGAGCTCACATGAATGATTTTTCAACCTATTACACTGTCAATAGCATACTTTCCAATTTTCCCCTTATTAAGAAACACTTCCACTCCTGCTTCCTCCTCTCAAGCCAGGGATATTAGAAGAATGCACCCTCTGAGACTGTTTACTTCCATGGAAATCTTTAATAAAAATGCAGTGACTGGAAACAGTGAAGATAGAGCAGTCTGATGAACAGGAAATTTAGAGAGACAATATGCAGAAGTCCTCAAGATACTGCCAAGGCAACAATTTCAGGAGGAAAACAATGCTGAGTAACATAATTTCCTCCATTGCAAATCACTCAGCAACCTTGAATTAAGCTCACACCTCTGCTGTCTCTGCACAGTTTCACGAGAGAGGAATTAAATCCTTTATCAGCAGGACCAAAAAAACCTCCAAAGAGGTGAATGTTAGAAAGCCACAATTAAAGTCAGGGAGCTGGCAGCTGCCCTGGAATGATTAATGGGCTCACACATCTCCTTATGCCCCAGCTCAGCCATGCTGAGCAAATGTTTGAGAATTTCATAATCTCAGCAGCTCCTTTGCTTTCAAAGGCATGTCCTGACTGTGCAGCAATTTCTCCAAGAGAGTTAAAATGAGTTTGGCTTCATCTTTTGCTCACCTCTTTCTTGAAAACATCCATAAAGCTGGGGCATTGCCCAGCTTCCATATACTGAATTGCCATATACACATTTTACACTTGTGAGAAACAATTGCTCACTTTGAAAATTTAAAAAGGTTTATTAAACCTTGACAAAAATACAACAAATGGACTATATAAGGAAAAATTCTCAGTGCTGGGAATTGCCCATCGTGCACACCACATGGCTGGCTCATCCTCAAGATGGATGCTCGGTCTTTTATATCCCTGGGGGATTACATCAGCCAGCCCTGGCCCCTCCCAAAGCCTGTCAACTCTTCTTTGCCATTTATTGGTGGAGACTGTTTTCTTGTAACTTGATTGTAGATCACGTGTTGCCATGCTACACCCCCTAAGCACCAAGCTTTTCCATTCCCAACTGCCCCATGCAAGGGACACATGCATGCCTTCTTTTTACCTGTCCTAGACAACCCCAGTAACAGTACAGGGGGAAAAAGGGAACTATGGGGAGAATAGAGGACATCAAAACTACAATAACATAACTATACATCACTAAAGCTTTTCTTAACATTCACACAATAGTTATCCCATAATTGCAAAAGCCAACAATCTCATTATGCATCTATAACACACTGAAATAAAGAACAACTGGACCTTCTCACTAAGAGGCAGATCAGAGAGAGAAATGTGTTACCATAAACAAGAAGGACTACCAACACAAGTGGGTGATAGGTTAATAATAAAGAATATTGCATTACTGCTGGGAAAAAATCAGCAGCAAGAAAAATAATAGGAGAAAGGTAGGCACACACAGACACTGTGCATCAATAGAATCTCCCAGAGTGCACATCCTGGCTTCAGCGGGATGAACCCACATGTGAATCCATGGAGTAGCCTGGCTCCTGTTTGTCTGCAAACACACATGCAGAACTACATGCATCTAGTGCTTAGTTAGGACATGCAGAGAAAAGAAAATGGAAACTAGCAGAAGTAAGGAATATGCCTGTAAAGACAGAGTCCCCATGAACAACTGAGGAATGGGGTGGCCCATACCTTTAGTGCTACAAGGCTAGCTGCAATTTGTACCCTTAAAATAAATTTCTAACTTGTAATGACAAATTAATTTGCTTCTTTAGATGCCTGACTTTGGAGTCATTGCAACATGCTGCTGTCACAGGCTGAATGAGGCATTGACTTCCAGGGCTATCTCCTACCCTGCAAGAAAGTCCTGCTGGTGAGAGCTGGGTCACATATCCAGAACCTTTCAGTTCTTAGTCTTTCCTGCAGCTACCAAGTGCTGATGAACATCACCCAGAGTGCTGATACAATGGCTATGTGCCTAGTAATCCACCAGGAACTTTGATGGTAAAAATCAAAAGTTGTCCACCTTTTAGTCCCTTCCAGTCATGTAAGCTGTAGGTAAAACAAGCCAGGTCTCTGTGTGATGATGAAATCCTTCAAAGCAGTTTCCCATAGCACACTGGTCTCGTCAAGAAAGTATTTTCAAACCTGCACATAAAAAACTAAGACAAGGTGCTGAGGCATCCATCTATCCTACTCTATCCACTCTGTCCTGAAGGTGTCTGGGGACACAAGACACGAAAGATAGACAGCTCTGTCTTGACAGTCTAGCTGAGCTTTTCAGCAGATTCATGAGCATGTTAGTAAAGTCCCACATAGCATCCCATGCTTTTGATGGCTTTTTTTCTACTTCAGTATCCATGCCATGTGTCTCACATCTTCCCCTCAGAGTTGTGTCTTCCTCCTTGATTTTTCCCCTTTTTTGAAACATCTGTGAGGTTAGTTTTGGCATGTTTTGGTCCTTTCCACTGCACCAAATTTCCTCCCGGACCATTTTCTTGTAGTCACTAAATTTCCTGATTTTTTTTTTTAAAGTAAATTTCATTTCCTTTCAGGAAGGTAAAGGAAATCTTGCAATTTCAATGAGAATCAATTTTGGCAATCTTTGGTCCATGTCCCTGCACTTCATGGCATCCCATGCCTTTTGATGGCTTTCACTTTGGCAATTTTTTTTTTTCAGTATCCATGCGATGTGTCTCATATCTTGCCCTCAAAGTTGTGTCTTCCTCCTTTATTTTTTTTCTTTTTACCACATCTGTGAGGTAAGTTTTGGCCCTTTACACTGCAATTCATCTAATCTCAGTCCATTTTCATGTACACTCAAAATTTCCCAATTTTTATTTTTCTTCAATTCCATTTTATTTGATCTTATCTTCTTCCAGAGTGTTTTTCAGTCTTTCTTTTCTGTTTTGCAAGATTTTGTTTCCCTTCCCGAAATGAAATCTTGCGATTTCAATGTCAATCAATTGGGCAAGGTTTGGTCCATGTTCCATGCACCTGAAGGCATGAAATGCCTTTTGATGGCTTTGACTTTGGTGAAGATTTTTTTTTCCCAGTATTCATGCCATTTCTCTCATATCTTCCCCTCAAAGTTTTGTCTTCCTCATTGAGGTTCTTGTTATTTTCTGTTTCTCAAGATTTTGTTTCCCTTCCCAAAAGGAAAGGAAATTTTCTTTATGGAAGGGAAATAAGTCTTGCGATTTGAATCAGGATCACAGCTCCAGGGAGAGGGCAAACACGTTCATTTTCCCTTTCCAGCAAAAGGGACCAAACTGTCAGGAGATCAGCTGACCTCCTAAGGCAAAGAATCAGTGACACAGCTCAGGCTCTGCTGTTCCAGCAAGCAGCTCATTCCTTTTCAGCAATCTTCTGGGCTTAGGAAAGATCAAGACCCCAGAGATATCTTAGTCCCACATGGGTGATCACGTCGGGCTACACCACACCACATTTTGAGTAAGGGACACTCACTCGGTGCACAGAAATTGATTGTACACCTATTGGGTGCACATTCTCCCCACTCTATTAAAAACCAGCTATATCTATTAACTCTGTGCATGAAGAGGTTTTTATTGCTTTTCCACTTGTGTTGTAGTCACTACTGTTGTAGAAAGCAGATTCAACATGACTCAAATTCATGTTTAGCACACAGAGCTTATTCCAGAATTCTCCTGCATTTCATTTACTATCAGGCTTCATGTTTTTAGCAATGCTACTGTTTCAGTTGCCTTTCCCTCTCCTTTAATATGGAGATTTTTATTGCTGCCATATATCTTAAAGGTGGCAGCAGTGCTGCCCAGAGGCTTTGGACATATAATCACTGCTGGCATGACTGCAGCAATAACAAGTGGTGCTGAGGCAGCACATGAGGCTAAAGAGGGGGTTAAGGGCAGTCATGAGGGAAAACTTCAGGCCTGTTGTGAGCACTTGTGGTAAATGGCAACAGAGCAACTCATTGCTCCCCCTGAATGATTACTATTATCTGCCTTCTCATTCACCAGAGGTTTCACACTTGCTTGGAAAAATTCAGATTCTGTCATCTTTCCTGATCACAGTGTCAGGCACGATTTACCAAGGAAGCCAGCTGAATTTCCTCTGAATTCATCCTTATTTTAGTGTCCAGTCAGTTTCAGAGAAAAAAAACAAACCAAAACCCACAAATAGCTACATTTCTTCCCATTCTGTAGATGAAATACAATCTCGGTTTCATGCATCACTCACACACCTTTGTGTGAATACACACATGAGCATGCTCCCTGGAAACCAATGATCCCTTTACATAAAAGTACTGAGATGCTATTTTTTCATGCAGGAGCCAGCTGCAGGTATTTTTAAATAGGATAACTTGTTCAACAGTTGAGCAGAAGGGCCCTTACGGATCCAGATCAGGGCCCTGCTGTATTAAAGCTTCATACACACCAGTCCCTCACTCAGACACCTGACTCATAGCAAGCAGCCCAGAGAAGAAGCCTGAAAGGGCAATAGACAAAAAGGCAACTTCCATTTCACAGCATTTTTAGTCAAAGGCAGAGTTGCCTTTGGATAAAATTTCTAATTTCAGCTGTCTGTCGCTCACTCTGATGCCAGTGGAGCAGGGATGACTAAGAGGGATGCATGCTTCTTGGCTACAGCAGCTTATTTTTCATTTGTTCAGTTTCCTTTCTATCTGTGTTGAAATAATAGACTGTGGACTAGAAATGTCCTCCATTTAGCAGTTGTTTTAGCATGAAGTTTTGGCAGAAGAAGTGCTAAGATGGCAACATTTCAGTCTCCACAGCTGAAACAGACTGCATTGTTAACTGGGGCCTGGAGATGGGACTCTGGTGTCCAAAGACCCCATCCTGAACATCCCTCCTTGGCTTTTTCTGCTGTTGGCTATTCAGCAGTACAAAGGATCATAGGCAACCTGACTTCCAGAGCCACTTTTCATTTAGAAGGATGTCCTTGGGTGACATAATGATGCTTGTATCCCCAGTCATCTGTTCTATTTACGCTGAATATTATGTCCTATGCCTTCAAGACTGGCTCTGAAAAGCAAAGTTTTGTTTTGTTATCAGCCTGCTCATTCCCCCACAGTTGGCAGGACATAGAGATGGGGTAGTACATAGGGCTGCTTTTGCTTTTTCCTCTTGCTTTCACTTTGTTTTTGCTTTTGCTTGTTAGTTAGATCAGCTAGGCAGTCCAAAATTTCCCTGGACTGTTTTTCTTTCCCTTCTCTTGGAACCACTCAAGCCTGCTCTGGATTGGGACTCTTGGGAAACACCAAGAGTTTGCACTTTGTGGCCTGCAGCAGCCATTCCCAGCACTGGAGGGACCGATAACAGAGCAACCACTCCCAGGAGAGACACTCTAAATCTGTAATCTCTTCAGGGCAGTAAAAGAGTTTTGTCATCCAGTATTGCTCATTTCATGTGCTGGGGGATGCTGTGCCTGTTAAATAAACAGGGTCTTTCCACTTCTCTCTGAGGAATCCATCCCGAACTGGTTGCAGGGAGGAGCCATGTGACTTTGCTTTCTGGAGGGGCCCCCTTTGGAGGTTTTCTCCCAAATTCACCCTAAACCAGGACAAAGGAAAACCTCACACCATCTCAGTGGTGGTCTCTCCTAAACCAGGTTTTGTTAACATTTACTTGCCTTAAGAGGTAAGGGGCTGTGCAGAAAAAGCAGCAGAGATTGCGAGTGCCTACCAAACACACCTGCATTAGCCTAAACCAGCAACTTATTTCACCACATTTTCCTTATTTTCATTTGGAAACAAATTACAAAAATATTTACTTTGACAAAAAGACAACTTAACACAAAACACTGCAGCAAAAAAATAAGACAAAACATGAAAAACATATTAAAGTCACTTGGAGTGGCAGTTACAGCATGGTAGCCTCTTATTAAGGAAAGAAGAAGTGACACACTGCACCCATACCTATTTTTTACATCAGCATGTATGCTCATGTAAGACCTTGAATTGTCTGATGAATGTCTTTGGTTTATAAACGTATCTTATTTCTTTTCTTCCCTGCTCTTCCACTCCAGGTCTCTAAAAACTATAGGACCAAAAGACAATTACCTCTCATGGCTTTATTTCATTCTTGAGGATATAGATTAGAAGCAGCAAGCCAAGGAGACCTTGGGATAATTTTAATTGCCTGCAGTTCCTTTTGGAAAAGGGGAGAATAGATATGCAAGGTCCTTGATGAAAGGCAGATGGGTGACAAAAGCTTCCCTCATTGTAAGCAGCCGCAGCAGAAACAGGCATGTGGCAGCACTTATTGGAGCACACACACAATTATACCATCTCCTCATAAAGACAGACAATCTTAGCGGCTCCTCACAGCTGGACAGTAAGTTTTTGGGATAAGACTATGAGATGCATGCAGATATAACAAAATGAATTACAACTGGACAATGAGAAAAGAGGGGATGAAAAAAGTCAAAGTCCCCAAATTACTCATTTCATTGGTTCAGCAGACATGCTCACACTCCTGCAATAACATGTCAGGACTCATCCCCACACAGGCCACCAATTGCTGGCATCAGTGCTTGGCACCAATCAATGGTGGATGGAAACTGACTATCATCACCAGTTTGTTATCATCCTCTAAAACTTTCATACCTTCTCTCTGTGAGTTCCCACAGGCAGCTTCTCGCAACACTGACTCCTTTTCTGTTTCTTCAGTTGACTCTTTCCTGTCCTTTGCACAACTGCCTAACCCTTACTGTCCCTCACACAGCCACCTGACCCTTCCTTCTGCACAGACAACAACTCCAGCTCTTCTCTCAACCAGCTAACCCACTTTTTTGTAACACTCATTCTTATTGGACATAGCTGTGCCCTATTAAGGGCAGGGCTGTTCCTATTCTGTGGTAATTAGTACAGCTGCAACTCCTCAAGGGTGAGATTGCCTTCAGCACTATCTCTATTCTCCTACAATCCATCCTCCCACAATAATGCACCTCCAGCTTGGCCAGGAGAAATTTTTCCTGTGTCACAAGGCATCTACACTTTGCCTTGTGCTGTGTCTGCTAGAACTTGTTTCTTACTGTTATCTAGATTTACACCTCACTGACAACCAGAAGGATGTCACAGACACCTTTCATACAAATCACAGAAATAAATCAGAGCTAACAGGCTATCTTTTAGAGGGAACCATGGTTTCTCATTTTAATCTGACATTGTCTTATGCAGCCAACCTCTTGTTCATTGTCCTGAAGTTTACAAAGATCTGTAAAGCCCTGTTCCCCTGGGGTCTGGTTAACCCCTTGCATTGTTTGCATTAGATTGGTTACTCATTTGTGTGTGCCTTTGTGGGTCTGTTCCACCTTTAGTGTGCTGCTGAAGAAGAGGAGTTGCCCACTGAAGAAGGACAAAGAGGAAGCCAGAGTTGTTGAGAGTTCAGTTTGACAGGTTGGCACACACACCATTCAAGAGCTGTAACTATTCTCTACAAAAATTGTCACTGCTGCTAAGACGAGAAACGCTTCCTTTGAGTGAAGTTTTAGGTAAAAAAAAGCAAAGTGTAGAGATCAATATTTTGTGACACCATGACTTCTGAAATTTAGTTACACCCTGAAGGGCTGGTAGCTCAGAGATACTTGCTCAAGTGGGCTCAGTGGTGCTTGTGTAAACCAAGGGTACTGCTTCTCCTTTGGGTGCTGCTTCACCAAGCACATGAGGTCAGTTGGCTGACTCTTCTTTTGGATTGCCAAGGAAAAGAAATTACTTATTGTTTGATTTATAATTAAAAATATTTTATAAATTCATGAAAGAGCAAACAGGTTCACTGTTCTAAGAAGAAGTAGTCATATAGTGTCATGGTTAAGTTTTTAAAGAAAGGAGGACACCAACAAAGATATTTGACAGCTCTGAAAAAGGAACAAGGAAAGTAAATTATATAGGAATACTAATGGTTTTACAGGAGACGTTTCAGCCTCACAAAGTCTTTGCAACTCTCTAGTGAGATTTCTGGACTGCTCCTCGTGGATCAGCATTGAGAACATACCCAAGTGGTGCTTCATCACAGCAAGCAGCTGAAATAGGAGGCACATGGCAATAGACTGAGGAGGCAATAAAATTTTGCTCAGAAAAAGGACAAAAAAATCTAAGAAATTGTATTCAAACTACTTACAGGGAAAAAAAGAAACAAAACATAGATATTCACAGGAAGTGATTTTTATCCTATTTGGCTGCTTTTGATGCAAATTGAACATAAGATCCAGTGTACTGAAACTACACTTTCCAAAATGGGACTAGGGCAGGAATGCTGTGCCCTATAATTTGATTAATACACAGACAGAAAGCAGCAAGCTGGATGTTTGCTTTTATTAACTCCTTAAGTCAGCTCAAACTTCTGTAGTTTCAGTATACTCCTAGAACTGCTGGGACATTCAGAGTCATGGAGAGCAATTTTTATGATCCAGTACTTATGAACCCAGACCCTGGTCCACAGCAAAAGGCCATGAATGTGTCACTGCCTAAGAGCTGTCAAGACACTGAAAGAACAGGACTCTATCCCAACATGTAAAGTGGCCAACACAGCTTTGCACTCTCCTGTGCACTGTGATCCAAGCTATGGAAACCAGCTCCAACCTCAGTGGACAATGCACCAATAGCATGGCTCATTAATAATAGTTCATAATATGAAAAAAACAGCGTCTCCTAAATATTACAAATCACTAAACTGAGGCTGGATCAGGAGAAATTGAGAGGAAGTGATTCATTTTCCCAGGGAACACAGGCTTATGAAAAACCTCTAGACATCACAGGACTGGGAACGTTGACTTCCCAACAGTGCTACAGGGCATCATTACAGGATGAAGTGTCCAAATAGTGACAGTAGGGATGAAATGTCAACTGCTCTGCACACAGAAAGCAGCCTCAGATGGGCTTGCTAAGGAGCTGTTAAAAGTTTTTAGAAGTCACCTTATAGGGAAATATGAAAGCAGGCTTGAACTGGATTTGTACTGCTGGTGTTCACTGTTCAAGGGAACCAGAGGGGACAAAAGTAAACAGAAGCCCACATTTCTGTTTTTAATGCTGATACTTTTAAAATTATTTGTTACTGTTTCTGTAAGTTAAATACATGTTGCAGGTAAAGCTCTGCAGTCAATATGGGTGCTAGAGCCTTTTGTATTAAGATTGGCTACCATCTTTTCAAAGTATTTACAAAATATTGCTGAACAGTCAGACCTCTCACGTCTTTCCTATTTGTGTTCTGTGAACCACTACATGCATTGTAATGCAAATTGTACAATATGTCTATACTTGATTCTTTCCATATTGTCACCACATCTGACAAGACACGTGATTTCAGAGCCAGTGAAAGCCATCATTCCTCCCACACAACTGCTGCAGGAGTGTTCTTAGTTATTTGCATCAGAGCTGTAACAGGACAAGGAACACTGCCACGTCTAACAGTGTGGAACACCTTTTGTGCCACTCTCAACAGCAGAACGGACACGTGATTTCAGAGCCAGTGAAAGCCATCATTCCTCCCACACAATTGCTGCAGTAGTGTTCTCTAGTTATTTGCATCAGAGCTGTAACAGAACAAGGAACACTGCCACATCTAAAAGTGTGGAACACCTTTTGTGCCAATCTCAACAGCAGAACAATGTTGTAAGGGCCAGTTCCCTTTAAAACAGGCCAACTTCCAGCACAAGCATAAAAGCCTTTAGTTCATATCACAGATGTAGGTAAAAATCCAAAAGTAAAGACGAGAGACCAGAACAGTCCCCACAAGGCCCCCGGCAGCACCACTGCCCCACCCATTCCCGCAGTGGCTGTTCCTGCTCACAGCACTGTGGGGCATTTCACCACAGTGGGTTCCAATTCATTCTCGCTGCCTGACAGACGTGACCTGCAAGAAGCAGCTGACAAGCAGTCAGTTCATTGCCCTATGAAAGACTCAGTCACTCAGTCACTGCCATTCAAGCTTGATTTTTCATAAGAACAAGAATGTGCTGTTCCAAATGTTGCACTCAGCATCTTGGAATGATGCCTTTGACCAGGGGCACTGGGGCCAGCTGAAAAATGCATTATTACACAAGACACTGTCTTTGTCCATTTCTACAGTTTAAGGGAATGATGCAGACACTCAGCCAATTGACTGCTTAATACTGTTGTTTCTGTAATAATCCAGGACCCTGCTAGATTTCTAGAATAGAGACATGACCAAACTGTTCTTCTGAAATAGATTCATTCTTCCTTGATTCATCAAAATGGTGCAAGTGACAGTGCAGGAGATGATGCTGTGCCTGCAGTGGGTGAGAAGTCATGGCTTATGGTAAACAAAGATGCATTAAAGCAAGGCTGTACTTAAAAACGGCAAGAGAAGCATGACTTGAGAACATTATTTCTTTGAGTTGTTGATTTTTGTCTCAAAATTATTTTTGTTTGGAAGTTCTTTACCTAGAAATGTGATTGGTTGCTAAATCATAAATATTTGGCACTCGTCCCAGGAACAATCCCCTGACTTCCTCAGATCAGAAAATTATTTAGGCTGCACTTGGCTCATGCTGAAACACTTCTTTTTATAAAACTGAACACCTACAAATTATATTTTAGCAATTATAAATATACCCCTTAACAAGTGAGAAGCTGAGGAATTTAATGATGCAATCTGATAACTAGACAGATGGGAAATTACAGAAAGAGGAAAAAAGAAGATAAAAAAAAATCCACATAATTAAGATGGTGAGATGAACCCTTAGAGCACATGTAGCACTCACCAAAACCACATCATGCACTCTGATGCACTGGCTCATCACATATCCATTTCCCTAGAGAGAACTGAGTAGTGATTGATCATATATTCAATTGCTTTTACAAGATTTCAAAGGATGCTTTCATTAGAAAGACTGCTGTAAACCTGTTGTTTAATTGCTGCCAGGTAGATTCCTACCTGCTGGCACACTCCCCTCACCTGCTTCACCAAATATCTCCTCAGCCAAATCTCTCCTCTCACCTCAAGCTCTCGAAGTGCCAAATGTGGTCAAACCATATCACATAACATAGCACAAGTGTGCAGTGTTTCCTACTATATATGTGTAAAACTGAGATTTGCAGGGACACGGGATAACTCCATTCACTCTTCACTCATCATGGGATAAAATGAACAATCCAGGATGCAAAGACTCCCTCTGAACCATCCAAGCTCTATTTCCATCCATCACAGGTAAATACATTCTGTAGGCTCCATCTTAAACTAATCATATTTTCACCTTTGTTTTTTGTCAGGAACAATATTGTCCTGTTCCAATTTCTCTAAGTTGAAGTCTATTTCAGAGCCTCACTTTTCCTATAGTTAAAAAAACTTTCTTCTAATTAGCTAGCCTGAATGTATTCCTCAATAATCTATGCCCTGCTGTTCTTGTGCCAAGACTGTCTGTTAGTATATTATTCTTTCCAACACAAAGGGCAAACCCCTGTTGCCTCTTTGCTATCATTTTACTGTGTGACACAAATCTTCTCCCTTTGTATTACCTTTTCCTTAAAGCAAACCATCAGTGAAGACACTTCCAAGTTCATCTTTCTTGAATATGAGTGACCAGAACAGCACTCTTGATCCCAAGTACATAACAGATGTAAAGCTCCTCTCTGTCAACTGCACAGGAAGGATTGCATTTACCCTTTCCTCAGCTGCATCACATTGATTGGCATCTTATGCTGCAAAATACTGTACAGGTTTTCAAAAAAAACATATTGTACAATTAACTCAACCCTTTACTGCAATAAAATAATTGAATTTCTAGACAAAACAAAT